TGTGCTGAGTAAATTGCATAATCTTCTTTTTGAACATCAATTATAGGTTTTTTTGTGTCTACTAAAAATTTTTTCCTGGCAAAGCCAAAGGCAGGTGAGAGATTGCCAGCCAGGAGTTTGTTAATTTTCCCCGATCTGCTTCAGAGCAAGAATTAATTGCTGCTTCTTCCTCTGCCTTCTTAAATTTCAATGTCATTTTTATACCTACTCTATAATATACTGTTTATTTAGTTTCCTATATTCCAGATAAAATATGCAAACTGTGATTAAGCCTGATGGTTAATACAATCTACTTTCACCTGATGAGAAAAAGCATGAGATCAGAGCAATAATGAGATCCTAAATTTAGTTAATTAAATGAGAGCCATTTGTTAGTGGTATTTCTTTAGAATATCCTGATATTTCACATCATATTTTTCAAAAGTGTTTGTCTTAAAACCTATGTGTTTTTGTAGTGTTGAAATGATCTCTCTTTTGTGTTACAAGTTAGAAAAAACTGTCCATAGTCTTTACTGGAAAAACATATTTCTAAATCACTCAGTGCTGCCTAGGAATTCCGATTATGAAAGCCGTGGGGGGCTCATCATAGGTATTATTTTAGTTTTGCCTCATGAGATGCATCAGTATATACTAGATACTTTTTAAAAGCTTTGCAATGGTCTAGAATTTAGAAATTGTATCTACTTCTACTGAGAAAAGTCAGGACTTTATGTATTTCAAAGCAGTAAAATATTTGACACGGATTCCATAAATAGCTATTCTAAAAGCTTCTTTCTTGAAATAAATCCTTGTTGAGGAGGAATTGCAGTTGTACTCTCCTGTGGAGTGAACTGCTGACATGAATATTTCTTACCTTATGGAATTTAAGCAAAGCTTGTTTCTCTCTTTGTCTCTCTTCAAGCCTGTTGAAAGAAAATAGCTACTGTTTTTCATTGAAGGCTGGTTAGACATGTTATTTAGCATTATTTGTATATATATAAAAAAATATATATAATCTCATTGGTGATAACATACCATATTTGAAAATAATTATTGTCTCTTGAAGTTACAACTTTTTTCAGTAGCAGGCATAATTCATTAGATGAACAGGTTATTGATGTATCATCAGTAGCCTGTCATGTATCTCTTCTTCTCTGCTTACAAATAGAACAACCTGAAAAATATTTTGAGTGGAAATACTTTTTGGATTTATTGTTTATTATTTAGCCCTCCCACCTACTCCTTGTAGTTTGATGTCATTGACTTGAAATATTTTTGTGTCTGGCTGAGCTGTAAGGCTGTAAATTTTTTGCTAAGTTTTCTCTCTACTTTTTATGGCAGGGGGAGGGGTGAATCCTTTACAACTTAGCTAAATACCTGTGAAATAGCTTGCAGCTGAAGTACTTACTGAAGTAATTCCTCACTCATTTTTCACATTATCAATTATATGATAATGATGAAAGAAAGTAAAACAATGAAATAAGATATGAGCTGGAAAGCATAACCAGGCTAATATCAGGAGGGAACAACTAAGAATAAGGAAGGTACGAAAGCTGACAAGCAGGTGACAGAGAAAGGAAGATGACAGTGTGAGTCATAGGCCCTTGACCTACAATTAGAGGAGGAAAAAAAACCAAGGAATGAACAATTAATTAGAAAGAAAGAAGTAATTACTGAAAACGGAAGCAAATAAAAATACCTATTTGTCTCTTTAATAGGCTTACAAGTATTACAGCACATTCTTTGTAAAATACATTATTGATAGAATAAATCTTGAGATGTTAATGTAAGGTTTGTTTTATGTGAGTACTCGTGTAAAAGTTTATTGTTCATGACATTTTTAGAAGGTAAGTACAAAGAGTATTTCAGCACAGCCAATAGATATGCACTTCTTTTTAAGTTAAATGCTGTAATATTGTATTTTTTCCTGAAAAAAAAGGTCCCAACTTTAACAACTTTTTCTTGACAACTACAATTTCTTAAATAAAAATAATTGTGGAAGAAATGAGGAATTCTCAAAATTTTAGGTGGTTGAGTATGGGTATCTTTATCAATAGACTAGAGGCAGGCAGCTCTGGAAATTTCCAGTTTATGAGAAGAACAAAAAATAAATACAGCAACAATAATAAAATGCGCATAATTCTTGCATATTCTCCTCAGACTGGAATGGGACACCTGCGTGTTACAAAAGAAGGCCTTCGTCTGGAAGGGGAATCGGAATTCTTATTCCCTCTTTATGCCAAAGAAATCCATTCTCGAGTGGTAAGCAGATAATCTTTCAGTAATGCTAAAATAAAATTAATGCACTTATGAACAGTGGAATTCAGGCAAAGTCCAGGCACCTGTCATGGAAATATAGATGTGTATGTGTGTGTATATGTGTATACTCACATATTTTTGTGTACTTTACAAGCATGAACATTAGGTCAATATTCTGATACTATGGCAGAATTAACATTTTTCTCTTAGGCATGTGATAAGAAATAGCTCAAAAAGGAATTACAAAGGTCATTGTATATAAACTGCTAAAATTTTAAGAGTGTGTAGAAAGTTGTTCACTGTTTTTACTGAGATTATTTTTTTAATGCAGTCTTCTCTATGAAACTGCTTGTTTTGTTTATTCATCCATTACAGAATAGTTTAAATATCTCTAAAATTAATGGATCTTATTGGAAAAGTTATGATTTCTCTAAAAAGTTCAGGTTTTGTCACTTCTAGGACAGCGATATTAAATGTATGATATCTGTATATATTTATGTATATAAAATCTATAAATAGGACTAAATGGGAAGATTTAGGATTTAATCTTGTTTACATAGGCAGAAAATTCTATTATTATTATTGAGGTAAAAAAGGAATAACATACTTGGTCAAAGAAAGTATTTATCAAGCAGATTAACTTGAAAATGGCACTGAGAGTAGGTATGGTATGAAAGATTCTTATTTAAGTACTGGGTATAGAGGAAGAAAGAGAGAATCTGAATTGGGTTTTAATTATCCAGGTGAACTCTGACACTTATTCAGGTGAATTTTTTGTAGAGCAATATCTTTCTGGCCAACAGAATGAGTATTTTTGAGAACTATTCTCTGTAATCTAAACTCTTATGAAATAAAGCTATGTTTTATGAACAGTGTCATCAACCAATGGGACATTTCATTGAATAAAGTACTATTCAATGAGAGTAAAAGCTGAATATGGCTCTTTCATTACATCAAACATGTAATCATCCTCACCAGGTCATTAGAAGGAATAGCCAACTATGACACTTTTCTGAAACTAGGGGCAAAATTAGTGTTTGTATCACTATAGCAAGGGAAAATGTAAATAAATTTATCAGAAAACATGGCTGATATTGGATTTAGGATGAGGTTGTTAAAATGCTGGATTGCTGAGATTTAAGCAATGCAAACTTATTTTACATCTGTTAAGCCTTTCTTTTTCTCTCTTTCTACAACAAATATTTCCAGTAACAGGAACAGCTCTTACTTGGATGGTGAAATTCCATTGCTAAATCTATATTATGATTTTGTGTCTTATGCTGTATTCTTTTCTGTCTCATAGGCAGTGGGAAAACTATTTATGTCCTTAAATGAATTTCCCTTGAGGTTGTTTATCCAATAAGACATGTAACATTTTAAGACCAGCGTAGCTAATACTTAAGAACTCCCTCTGCCCCAAAAATGCATTATGCAGTGTTAAGCTACCATTCATGCTCTTTTAATATTCCTTCCAGCTCTTAATACATTTAGTACAATATAGGAAGAAAGAGGTGTGACTGCATCTAATATAAGCTTAGCTGTCTAATGACCCATCGTGATCATTAGTAGCATACATTAATTAGAGCCTTCAGGCTACTGCATGTCTCTGCCCCCTATGAACTGATAGTTCATCAGAGGTTTTTGTTGGTTTGTTTGCTTGCTTTTTAAAATATTTGAACTCTCTAGAGGCTTAATTGCCTGTAGCTTGATCTCTTGAGTGCAATCTATATATTTATTCTTATAAAGTTGCCTATTTGTTATGATTCCTTTTTCTAAGTTTGTCTGTTAGAGAATTGGCCTGCTCACAGCTATCATAGTAGCTTTCCTCCTTGCCTTAATAGGTTTCTCCTTGCAGTCTTCTAACAGCTTTTCACACCTAATGAGGTCTCCAAAGTGCTAAGAAAATATGTAGCAGAAAATCTACTTGCTGTGCATCATCTCTGGAGCCTATTACAGGTTTATGCCTTCGTTATAAGTCCAACACAGAGTTGTGGGCAACACCGTTGCATCTTAGCTAATATATATTCATGGAAAGATAAAAGATGAGCATTTATAAATATGTTACTAGATTTTCATTACTCAACAACACATGTGTGGAAGCTGCAAATCTAGAATAGAGTTTATTCACACTTACATTTGATATTACAAATTACTAACTTATTTTTTAAATCAACCAGTGGCAGTTGAATAAGTGTAATAAAGATACCCAGATTTGTGGGTCATTTAGGACATGTACTTAAATGTAATATATTTATCTGATCTTTGTTGACCTTCCTTTTCCACTTCATACTAACTTGTTACCATTAATGTTCATTCTAACACACTGCTTACTTTTTTGCTAAGACTTTTCATTATTTGTGTTAATTCTGTTAGCTTTCACTTTTTCCTTATGTAATTTACAAAATTAGATTCATTTATTTTGCTTGCTTAGTGACTTCTTTTGAGATAGCCTGTCTTCCTACTTGTAAGATACCCTTTTGTTGAAAAAGTGTAAGTTGGACTCCAAACTGTGTATTGCTTCTACCACTGTTGTTAGATAAGTGTTGCAGTAAAATCTTCATGTAAAATGTGTTCAAAATTCTCATGTTGTCTCATACTCTAAGCATTAAATTACGATGGGAACATGACTTGGGAGTGATTTTCAAGGGTTAGCCCTTCAAGGTAGTGCATAGTCTCTCTTGAGTCCAGAAAAAGTACCAGAAGCCATATATGTGGAAGAGACTGATCTTTAACAACATTCTGGTAGTTAGAAACTCACTTATTTATCTAGGAATGAGTATCCCCTCTGAGGTCACAAGCAGGCAGTTTGCTAATACCCTCTTTGTATCACATATTCCCTGATACTTGGGCAACAGAGATCTGCTTAGGCACTCTTAATAGTTACTAGGTTCCTGTCCTTTAGATACAAAGTATGCTTTAATATGAAAGCAGCTGTACTGCAAAAAACTTCCTCCCCTCTTTTTAAGTCTACCAGTGTGGCTACAATTTGCTGATCTAAATGAGCATGATCAGACTTTTTGTCCCCAGGTAATTTTCTGATACTTAAAATCAAGCAAAGAGTGGCCAGTATGATCTCCCTGAAAATCAGCTGCATTTAAAGACAACTCAGGTGGTGAATTGAAGAAAAACGTAAGAACCACCCACTCAATGCCCTCCTCACAAACTTTTAGGATGCTTCCAAATGACCCCTGCCAGGTGTCTTGCCATGAACCTGTTTCATTACTGTCAATATATCTAGTCTGATGGAGCACAGGGGGCAGCTTGGTCTTTCAAAACAGTTACTCATCTGCTCTTCAGGATAAAGAGAAGCTTGGGGAGGCTCCAATAGGCCTGAAGTACAGGGAGTTTGAGTGGAAGGTCTGGGAATAACTGATGGAAGTTACATCACCTGGGAGGAGCTCAACAAGCACAACACCAAGCCATGAGTTAACACAAGGGGATGTTTTGGTGAAGTAATTCCATGCTGGCTGCAGTCTAAGAATGACATGAAATTTTGAATTCCCTACTGTAGCTAGTGTGGATTGTGGTGAGGTTGGTAGGGATGAATGAAGATACTAATTACAACTGCTCAGCATGCCCTGCCTTCCATAAGTAGCACAGAATGATGGGTAAGCATGAGGCTCTGATTGCTCTGCAAATGTCCCAGTTTTGAGGCGACCTGTGAGGAGAGTTAAGTTGAATATGAGTGCCATTGCTTTGTGACCTTCAGATGTGATTTTGTATACCGGGATACCAGATGTGGAACAGCACAGGGTGTATTAGGCTCAAATCATGGTGCAGGGATGTGGACAAGTAGGTGATGCTGTTCAGTCTGCTGATATATTTTTGTCATCCTTCTGAGTGGTGGACAGAGAGACGATTTAATTTAGAGTGACACTCTTATCTGTACTGTTATCTATTAAAGTCAGCTTTGAGCTAGTCACCCTGCCACTTTTTCCATCACCCACTCTCTGAGTTTCCATGCTAGGAAAATCAGTGCCAGGTGCCAAAATCAAGCCAAAGCATACAGGCTGCATGGACCACTGAGGAGGCAGAATGCACGTGCAAGCTTCTCACCAAGTTAATATGACAGTATAAATTCGCAAAGTGGGGTACTCACACTTCAGTTAAATGGCTATCTTCTAGGAGTCTCAATTAGGTATCGAAGTGTAGTAAATCTAGTACTTAAGCATTTTTTTCCCAAAAGGTAAGATGTTAACAACTATGTTCATTGGGCCAGTAACACAGATTTTGTTCGCCTGAAGTATTCTCTATAATTTTTTTTCTTACTTTAAATCTGACATAGTTGAAGGAATCAAAAACATCTGCCCAAATTATTTGATGACATCTGTGGATGGTTTTGTAGCTGCAAAGCTCTTTCAGTGACTGAGTTAATATAAACACTAGACTAAATTTTGAGAATTGTTAACAATTCTAATTATTCTGCTGAATCTACTTTTTTTCCCTCCATACTTCAGGACTCATCACTGCTTCTCCAGTCTACTCACAATGTGACTGTAAATGCTCGCAATTCAAATGGGGAAGTCACAGGCAGATTAAATGTGGGTAAGTCTAAGTGATTTTTCCTTGTTCACTGTTTTGGAAACATTGTAATAAATATTTGCAAGGAGCTTAGAGGCTATAAAGCACTAAACACATGATTATTTTTTACTGTTATGGCCATATTTGAATAGTGCAGCTGGCACTCAGTAAGTACCAACAGTATATTTTCAATTTCTCAGTTAAACATTAATTCTATAAATATTTGAAGCACTTCTTTATTGCACAGTTATGCAAGAAGGGTCACTGCAGAAGTTACTCTCTTTCTTGTGTAAATACCTATTGATAGTTGCAAATTGTTTTCCAAGAAAATGCAACAGAAGAACATGGCTAGAGAGGCCTGTATGTGTGTCTCCATTTCCTACCCCTGAAAAGGGGCTTTAGGGCGTAACTATAAAAGCGACTATTGCTTAACGCTTATCTAACTATTGTGCAAGATGATTGAACTTTTATAGTTACGCCCTAAAGCAAGCCCCTTTTCACTCCAGAGACTAATACCTTTAAGCAGGTGTCCTAAAAAAATGCCAGTTCACAACTCAGAAATGTATTATGTTTTACTGTATTTGGTAGCAGCAAGATACATTGGTTTACTGAGTGAAATCAGTAGATCTAGGCAGATGTAGGTGATAGATCTTGGCAGCAAGAATAAGCAGACCTTACTCTTTAAATCACATTTTTAAGGCAAGAACGACTATAATGTGTGTCAGATACAACAGATTTTTTCCTAGTTTTGTTAATATTTTTCAACCTTTATTTGACTTTGGAGAAAAATGTAACAATTTATTAACTTGTTTCTTTTAAGATCCTCATGCAGCAAAGCATAAATTCCTACTTATTTAACTGTAAGACTAACCTGATATGCTTAAGTAGTTTAGTAGATTGGGACCCAGATGAGCACTGATGAGCAACTCTTCCATGCTGATGAGACTGTGTAACTTCTGTGACAATTCCTGTTTAGAGAATTGTCTTATCAATTCATTGAACATTTTGCAACCTTCACTGTTTTCAAACAAACTTCAAATAAAAAATACAATTTATAGCTTATAAAGGAGCCTGCTATTCCCCTTATAATATATAATTATATAATTAATCACAATTTGGCCTTTAAATGTTTTCCAATATCTTTTTTTTTAATTCAAGCTATTTATAAAGAGTTGGGTTATTCCTCTTTAAAAAATGCCCCTAAATATTTATCAAAACATGATAGTAGCATTCATATCTCATGTTGATAATAATTAAGGGTATGAAATGTACAGTACTTCTAGTCCAGTAATTAACTATACAGTAACCACATGACCAAAAATGAACGCATCACATGGTCAAAATTTCTGTGACATGGTACATATGCTGTTGATTCTGTCTGCTCTGTACTGTTTGTGGATGCCCATCATGGGAGCAGAAGTGTATCTGCATGGTCATGTGCCCATCCTGCCTGATGAGAAGTAGTTGTCAGGAGGTCCTTTGGGCCTGGGAAAATCAAAACTACATCAAAAGGAAGTGCTAAAGTGCATTTGCATATTATTTAAAATATTTGATGTTTAAGTAATCTCTTTTTTACTGGCAATTCTATTTATTGAATTTGGTAATAATTGTTCTTAAGTGCTGTCTGGTGTAGCTGGTGCCATTGTAAATACTAACATGAAATATCACTAATATTAAATCATACTAATTTTAGACTGATAAAAAAGTGTTGAAAGAGCAGTAAAAACTTAATACGGTAAAGAATGTTAATAACTAAAGATTTGGTCAAACAACAGTGACTGGGCAAGTGACAGTCTGATAAAGTAAATGACCATCTATACATAGCTTGATGTTTTTAGCCATTATCCCTAGCCAGTCATAAAATGCATGCATGTAAGATGATGTTCACTTGTAAGAAGTCTGAAAAATAGGTGTGTGGCTGATTTACTTCATATACACAAGCCTTTGCTAAAGAATTAATGCCTTCCACAGTTGCCAGCATTCTGGAATTATGTCTTAATACTTTATTCATCTTATAAATATGAGTAGTTGCCATTGTGAAGGAGCTGTATAGATAAGTTTGGGATCGTTACAAAGATGACAATATAATATAGTATTACTCATAAGATCATAACAAAGATACCTTTTAAGTCATAGAAGATTGTGATTCAAATGATCTGTTAAAGTATTTTAATAAGTTACTGAGTGATTTAAATACCCAGTCTTCAATGGAAGCAATTCACAAGAGAGATGTGAAACAAATCTTTACTTGAGAAATTTCTATGAAATTCGTCACATGAGGATAACAGGGACATATTATACAAGAATGAAAAAGGTTTCCCTCATGAATCACAGATACACTAAAATAACATCAGATGTGAGCAACTTCCACCATGAGCACTCTTGTTTTAAGTTTCTACATGCTCCTCAGTTTTCCTGCATGACATACTTGCAGGAGTTATCCGGACATTGTAGCTCTTTAAAAGTGCTGTAGATCTTGTTGTGTTTTGGACTGTGTTCCATAATTACACTGCTTTCAGAAGCCTCACTGAATGCAAATACATTTAACTGCTTGTGGAAAAGAATACTTTCAAAATAATAGGGATCATAACTAAAAAAACAAACCAATTTTGTGCTTTACCCTTTTTTGACTTCAGTATCTCTCTGGATGACAAAGATACCCATTTTGTTTGAGTTACTCTTTAAAATCATTTAAAACTCACATATGACCAAAGAAACTCATATTAAAACCAAGTAAATAATTTTTTAAAAAATAATTTAAGGCAAAAAAGGAAATGAGACATTTAGTTAAGGGATTATAGGGATGTGATTGCTTTGGGAATATTTCTGGGAGAAATATTTTTAAAATATTTTTTAAAAAAAGGATGTTGGCCAACAGACAGCAAGGAAGGAATCTAAGCAAGGCACAGATGTGGGAAGGTACAGGACTGAGAGTCAGAGGGAATTAAGAAAGCTGTGGAGACAGATGCCTATACACAAGGCAAGGATGTCTACAGAACAGATGGTAACTATTTTCATTAGAATAGCTCCTGTCTTTAAAATAATGAATACGATTCAGATGTCATTATCACAGCTTGCTCATCAACCTTCAAAACTGAAATATCTAGAACTTTCTTTGATAATCCAAGAAAGCAGTTGAAGCAAGCTGCTAACCATCATCTCAAAGACTCCTGTTCTTACCACTTCAAAGCCTTATTCAATCCTAGAATAAAAAAGAAATGTAGCACCTTTGATTTATACCTTGAGCCATAATAAAGCAACCTAGTGTAAAAAATTATCAAACGTTTTCGACGTCAAATAATGAATGATAACAAATATATAATATATAAAAGAAACATATAGATTATATAGTCAATTATCAAATACTTAAGAACAACATTGGTATCAACCAGTAAATGATGCTTCACCTACGTAAATGTATGCTTACATATACAGCCTACCAGGAGATGAATATAAAACAGTCAGACTTTGCAGTGGCATTCCAGTGCCAAATATTAAGAAAGTGGATGAAGAGCAGCTGTTTCCAACTATCTTTACTGAAAAGTAGGGCCAGTTATTGAAAAGATCTATTTTTCAAGGATCATGTAAGAAGGCTTCAACCTACAGAGACCCTTAAGTTCTGCTTGTTATGTCTTTTTCAGGAGAAAAAACATACACAAAGGAAAGGGGCTTCCAAAGTCATGCAAGGTCTGTGAGAACAGATTCCAGTACAGTGGACTGCTGGTCCTTCTTCTAGTTCAATCATTTACACCAAGGAACAGTAACATCAGTCAGTAGCTTCAGGTCAGGAATTCAGTTTAAAGTATTTAAAGCTAGAGGGAATTTTTTTAGATAACTGTACTATGAAGCTGTTCTGCACTTTGAAACATGAAATAGGCACCACTCAGAAAGCATGGGAATATAGTACAAGTCAAAATGGTTTATGCCATCTGAAAACAGAATCACAGTCAAAATTCTGCCTAGAGATTATTTTCATGTCCATCACATCAATCTGAACAGCTGTTACAATGAGAGCGTTTGTGCTATCCCATCCCTCCTTTTTCAAACAGGAACAACATTCTAAGGAAACAGATAAATGTCAGTACCTAATATATTGCTTCATTAGCATTAATTGCCATCTATAAACGACTACTTTCCAATGTCAAATCATTTCTGGTTTTCTTATCAGCAGTTTGCTATTTCATTTTCAAGTGATGGTATTTTTTCATCAGAGACATAATAGGAAGAAAACAATGTTAATGAAGCATGATGTATGTAAGAAGGGTTTGATGGTGTTTTTACAGGGAAGACCCTGAAGCCAGTTTCATAAACTTGACTTAATTAATGACATTGTAAATTCATTTAGCTTTTCCTTCTTTATTTTTCCCAGAAGACTTTCATTAAAAACTCCATTTTTGTCCAAATAAGTTCTTTCTTATCTTTAAGATAAAAGCCAGAACATATTTCTTGATCTTTGTACTGCGGGAAGATGATTATTTGCACAACTTTAATTGCTGTCCAGCTGGGTTATAAGAAAGAAAGATACAACATAGGAGTAATTAATAGAAAGATAAATTGCAAACTTCATTGAAGTATTTTTGACATGTCTTCCTATGATCAAGAACTTACAATATTTGTTCAAAGGGGATTAAAGTAGGGATTTTTACTTCCAGAAGTATAAAAATTTTAGCTGCAAATGAATCTGATCATATCAAAACATACATGTTAGTTTATTTAAAAGTAAAATTTAGTTGACTCATATCAGGCAAAATTTAGAGAATGACAGGTGGCTGCTAAAACAGCCTACAGACTTTTTAACTGATCCTCTTTTATAATTTCCTGGTTTAATCCATGTCAGATGTGTTTCTGTTCTATATTAAATGCATATGCTATTAGTCTTTTGTGAGATCGTTGTGTATTTAAATGGATATAAAGTTGAAAAGAATTAAAACAAATAGCAGAAAAAGGTGAGCAGTAATCACTATACATTTAAATTAAAGTTAGCTAAGCATATTGCCATGAAAACTTATTTATGAAAAAAGTAA